CCCCATTCTCAATCAATTGTGGGCACGTGTCTGTAGGGTGTCCTTGCATGGAACATACAACACAAGAAGCTACGGTTTTGACTTTTGGACCTTCCACCACCTGAGAAAGCAACGTAGTAAGGTTAGCCATTTGATTTTGAAGTTCGGTTATGGCACTTACCTCATTGACTTGGTGTTGCTGTGGGGGGTCTCTTTGTCCAACACCTTCGTATTGTTGTGCATTATGTGCTCGGTTGGCAATTAGAACTTTTGCAGCCCCCGGAGTTTTATCCACCAACGCACCTCCCGCTGAGGCATCAAGCATTTGGCGTTCCATGGGAAGGAGTCCTTCGTAGAAGTATTGAATGAGCAGCTCCTCCTTCATTTGATGCTGTGGACAAGAAGCAACAAGTGATTTAAAACGTTCATAATAAGAAGGAAACGATTCACCTTGATTTTGTTGGATACCACTAATCTGTTTCCTCAACAGAATGATTCTTGAAGTTGGGAAAAACTTCTCTAAGAAAGCTTTTTTCATACTATCCCAAGATGTAACCGTTCCGGGTGCTAATTCGAAAAGCCAATCCTTCGCTTTTTCCAAAAGTGAGAATGGAAAAGCCTTCATCATCAGAATGTTCCCGTCGACATTTATGGGTGTCATGCTCGAACAAACAACCTCGAACTCCTTGAGATGCTTATTGGGATCTTCCATGGAAAGCCCATGGTATTTCGGAATGTGGTGCAACAAGCTTGACTTCAACTCGAATTCATCGGTCTTGCCTTGGGCAGCCGCGGGGTATTGAATGCATAATGGTGCGGCATTGGCCAATCCCGAAGCAGAAAGCTCCTTGATTGTTCGGTTGTCTGCTGCCATGTCTTCTTCACCCACTGTTGTCTTGGGTTCTTCTTCAGATTCAGAAACGGACTCGGAGCTTTCACTTGATTCGCTAGGTTCTGAGTTCTTTCTCTTTCGTCTCAATTCTCGCTCGAAATCGGCGTTAAAGCTCGAGATATGTTCACGAATCAGATGAGAACTCCGAGTCATAAACTAGTACCTAAAACAAGAAACAAAACAAGATTAAGAATCTGGAATAAAATAAAAACAAAAGAAAATAAAACAATCCAAGAGATTAGCAAAGTTGCTAATCCCCGGCAACGGCGCCAAAATTTGATGTGAGAATTATACGCACACAAATTAAACCCTCTTTTTGTCAATTGTAGTAAGTATGTAAGTAGGGATCGTTCTGGACCGGGGATTATGAGGGATTGTTAATCACTTGGATTTGACTTCAAAAACGTAAAAACAAGTTTAAAACACTATTTGATGCGAAGAGTGCAAAACTAAAAATAAGAAAGATTAAGACTAAGACTTAAACAAAATATGGGAGGGGGGATTTAGGTTTGGACGAGATTAAACTAAAATGGATAGATTGCAAAGAAAACAAATTGTAAATACGAATTTGACAGAAATGAATGGATGGGAAGCTAGCTAAGGGGTTCATCTCCACACATGTTATACTTGCATACAAAACGATTTCTAATTTCTTTTCAATAAACCATGAATTCTCAACACCCCGGGTTAATTAGGTCCGCTTAAATTAACCGTAAAGTTTTCCTTAAGTTAATGAATTGGATGATTGCATACGACAACCCAAAGCATTCCCCACAAGTTCCCTACATGAATTGCATAATAGAGATACAAGCAAGAATCATTAAGTTCTTTGAAAACTATAAGTGTTGACGAGACATTCGTTACTATGATTGCATGAAACTTATGCCAAGAATTTATTTAACGCGATTGTTTATAAGCAACCTTCACTACTTGTGAATATAAGTTCATAACTAATAGGTGAAACTCACTTATATTCTAGCGTCATATTCATGCATGAAAATTAAGCGTGCACTCTCAATAAACATACATAAATAGGTTATCAATCAAATAGTTAAACAAATTGAATTCACAACTTATGAAACGCAATTAGAAGTAATCAAATCATATTGCAAGCATAAACATGTATTTCGAATCCCCCCCTAGCCAAGGGGGGTTTAGTTCCTCATACGTACAAGACAAAGAGAATTGAAATTAAACATTGGAATCGAGGAAAAGCAACACCTAAAAATTCCAACAACTCAAACTTGAATTGTATGAACGTTTAGGCACTCTTCTCCTCCTCTTCGTTGTAGCATAAGGTCTAAGGATAGTGTTTTGGAGGGATAGAAGTGTGGAATGGAGTGGGGAGTTATGGAAATGGAAGTGGAGGAGAGAATGATGCAGAAAATGGATGGGGAGCTCACGGCAACAAGGTTGCTTATTGTGTTGTGGTGTGTTGTGAATGAAATGAGATGTGTGAATTGAATGACAAATGAATGGGAATGCAAGGGTTTTTATAGGAGGAATGGAGGTGTATATGGCTGTTTGTTTATGATGCATGTGGCTAGTTAATGATGGAAAAACAGCTAGGAAAGCATGTGAAAGCTGGAATTGCATTGAAAGCCCACGGCAAGGAGTTTGGATGAGCTGGAAATGCATGTGAATGCTGGAATTGGGAGTGAAAGGCACGACATTGAGTTGGGAATGCATGATTAAATGTGCATGGCTGGAATGATGAAGAATAAAAGGTGCATGTGGGTTGGAAATGATGAAGGAAATGCATGTGAAGGGTTTGGGAATGCACGGCAAAGGAAGTGTGAGTGAATGATTGAATGTGCATGTGGGTGAATGTGAAGGGAATGCATGTGACTTGGCTGAAATGAAAGGGAATGCACAGCATGTGATGTTGTTGGTGTGTGAATGCATATGTTGAATTGTGGTGCAATGATGAATGCATGTGAATAGGTTGGAAAGTGGTGGATTATGCATGGCAAGGTGTGGAGAAAGAATGTGTGGCTGCATGGTTGTAGTTTAGGGTGTTGAATATGGATTTGCATGGCTTTTGAAGTGATTGTGGATTTTGGAATTGGAAGGAAATGCATGGCCTTGGGGTTGGTTTAAGAGAGAATGGGCTAGGCCCTTTGTTTTATGTCCAAAGTGCATACAAGGCCTTCAAATTCGTCTAACACTTTGGCTCCAATCATATGCTATCCATTCCAATCCCAATTTTGCTCCAAAATGCTCCAAAATGCATCTTTTTGCTTCCTTAGCCATATGAACCTAAAAACACACGAAAATGGCTTAAACTACTAAAACAACTATGAATTAACAACATAGATGCACGAAAACAAGCTAAGTAAGTCGCCTAAATATGCTCCTATCAGTTATGCGATTGTAAAAATGGAAATTATATATAAATAATCAAGAGATAACAAAAAAAAATCATTTATTTCTATTATGAGATGTTCATCTAGTAAAATTAAGGGTAGATCAACCTAGTATTCAACTTTTCTTAGAGTCATGTATGGGGAAGGAACTAAATTTTAGATGTATACATACATTAAAAAAAAATTAAAAATATTAGATCGGGCCACCTGGCATAATCTGGTGCATCTGATTTAAAAAAAAAAAAAAATTGGAAATCAAGGATCATAATTAATCCAAAAGTAAAAAAAATTATATTTTTTTTAAAACACACTAAATTTAAACAAATTAATTATTTTTTTAATTAATTATGCTTATTTGTAATGTTATGCTTGCTTTGTATTTAAAATTAAATTGTCAGAGTTAAATAGAGACTTTTATTTTCAAAGAATAAACTTACTAAGTACACACTTACGAGGCATACAAATAAAAAATATTTGTGAATAGTAATCGCCATTGCCCTTACCTGTCCTTTCTCTTCTTAAACGAGTGGACTTGCACAACTGTTTAGAGTGAACAGTAGAAGCAATTTCATTGCCATTGCATTACCCTTGCCCTAAAGCGGATGGAGATGCTCTAACGTATATGAGTACTATTATCGAGAAAGACTTATATGTTTATATGTAATGACTTTGCTGTCACGTGGCTTTTTTTTTTCTTTCTAATAATATATTGCTATGTAGAAGTTTTTTCTACATGACAATATATTACCGAATTGAGACCTCACGTGACAGTGAATCTGTTCCACGTAAATTGCTTTCTCTATTTTCCCACAGTCTAAGAAAATTGTGATTGCTAACCATTGATCTAATTGTTGTGAAAGAGAATAACTTCTTAGGATTGAATTAGGGATGTGGGGAATGTATGTTACTGGTCGTTACGGGTGATTGACCTAATACTCATTCGTTCTCTCTCTCTCTCTCTCTCTCTCTCGTAGTAGCTCCTTAGCACATGCCTATGCATGTGCTAATTGGCCTTTTATTCATTATGTTTATGTATTAGTATTAATTCTATCAAGTAACTACCCACGCAGTGGGTGCTTTGTTTGTAATCTTCAAAATGATGTAGTTTACCATTTTACCCTTATTAATTAAATTGTTTTGTTTTGAAATTCTTAATTAGGGAGGAGCATTTCTTGCCATTTTGAATGTTTCATCTTTTTTACCTTCTCACTTTATAAATATATATATATATATATATCTCCATTAATTCATGAAATCCTCTTTGTCAACTAAGTGTGAGAAGACTACTTAGTCTTCTATCACACAAAAAAATGATGGGCAATAATGTAATTTTACAGGTTCAAATTTTATTGTTTTTTATTGAAACCTCACCTACAAGTGATATTAAAATACTTCCAATAATAATAAAAAATAACCAAAAACAAAAACCTCCCCCTCCCCCAACCCTTTCCCTCTCTCCTTCTTATTTTCTTAAAAAAAAAATATGTTCATACACACCAAATATGTAAGCAAATGCTAGTATGTATGTATGTGTGTGTGTGTAGATTCACAACTCCCTCCAATTTATTACTTTTCCTACTCCAAAATTCCAAATAAGTAACACATGCATAGATCATTACAACACATCTGGGATTTAACGGATGCGATTTGTCTTTGGATAACCGAACGTTGGCAATCAGAGTTCATAGTATATCCGAGCCGGGTTCGGATCCGGTTTACACCATCACACCCGTCGGATCCTCTTCCCTCCCCCTTTCTTTCCTTTTCTCGCAACAAAAAACAAAAGCTAACCCAGAAAAATTTCCCAAGATCCAGTCGAGAAAATTCAGTTAAAATCCCGACCCCAAAAAGATTTCCTCTCTCTCTCTCACTATCCCGCCCAATTCCCGTCTCTTTCTCTCTCTAGAGTCAATTTTCTCTCTCTAGGGCTTACCTAGTCCCCAATGTTTCTCCCATCTTAATTTCTCCAAATTCTCGATCCCAATTCTGCCCTAGAATTCTCGACTGGCTTTCGCCACCCCAATGGAGGAAGAGAAGGGCGGCAGCGGCGAATCCTCCAGGCCTTCGTCCAAGTTTGTGAAAGCCGGTGACCGGCAAATGTTCACGGTGGATCTCCGGCCCGGCGAGACCACCATAGTCTCGTGGAGGAAGCTCATGAAGGACACGAACAAGGTCAATGGTGGGCCCCCGACCTCGGCACCGGAACCTCCTCCTGTCAACGCTCACCCTGCTCTCGAGTCTCGGATAGCTCCGGTGAGGCGCCCTAATTGAAAAGACTCTGACTTTTGTCAATTGCACATTGTGTTTGCTTTGCTGGGTGATTGGGTTTTGTGTTAATTTTCTGTTTGTTAATTGTGATTTGCTTGTTACATGCAGTTTATGTAACCTGATCGTTTGGCAATTGTGAAAATTGTTTGAGGATTATTGCATGAACGACTTACTCGTTCTAGTTTTGCTTTTAGGAGTTGTAACTTCTGTTCCGTTGTTTTGTGGATGCTTAGTTGCTGCTTTAGTCACTGAGAAACTCGTAGCTTGTTTTTGAAGTCTATGAGATTATGACGAGTCTAATATGGGTTGGGAATGTAGGTTCCGTTGTTGCATTCCAAGAATGCATTTTTACGAAACTAAGATGTTTATTTTCACTGCATCTTAATTCAATGGATTTAAGTTCGTATCATGAATGGCTATCAGATTTTATTGGGACGGTGGAGTGTTGATAGCGATTTGGTTTATAAAAGATATGCACAATCTGCATATGTACCCCTGAACATGCCGTTTCTTGGACAAGGAGTTGCTTTGGACCACATAGTATGATGGTTTCATTTTCTTAATTGTGCTTCACAGTTGTTTCAGGTCCAACAACCATCTGGAGATGAAGCAAAAGATGAAGGGAAAGATGAAGCTGCGCCAAATCGTTTTAGCGCTGTTATTGAGAAGATTGAACGCCTATATATGGTATTGTTATTTGTTTATTCATAAATAATGTCACTTTATGGTTCTTGCTATAAAACAGTTCTTCTTGTGTTACATAAAAATGTGTTGTTACAATTCCATTTAAATATATCTCAGGGTAAAGATAGTAGTGATGATGAAGGTCCAAATGATGTTCCTGATGATGATCAGTATGATACCGAAGACTCTTTTATTGATGATGCTGAGTTGGTAGTTATCTCTATCCAATTAATCTTTTTTTTTTTTCGCTTTTCAATATGTGATGGCCATTGTGTGGATTTAATTGGTGCCATTTTACTTGTTGAACTAACATTATTTTTATATTTATTGCTTTGATAATGTTCCTTCATTATGTGTTGTGCAGGATGAATATTTTGAAGTTGATAATTCAGCCATAAAACATGATGGATTCTTTGTAAACAGGGGAACGCTGGAGCGCATGTGAGTTTCTTTTAATCCTCACCTGATTATGTTTGTGTGTACTTCGATATATATGTAATTTTATTTATCTTAGTTCCGTGGTCTATACATACAAGACCTTAGATATTATTCACCCATTTCGTTGCATAGTTTATGGCCTATTGAAGTCTGGAATACAACAAGCCTTATGTTTAGTAGCTCATAAACGTGATGGTAAAATGATACATAGATACTATTTGAGGGAACTGATCTACCTGTAATTACAGGCTATAGTTATCCTATAGGTACTATTCTGTCCGCTCCCTGGCTGAACAGTGATATCAGCAGTTTCTATTTAAATAAAGTGGACATGGGAAGATATTTTTTGGGTTCACTTACATCAATAGAGGAATTGGGTTTGCCTAAGAAATGAAATTATTTTGAGTTTCATACATGGGTTTTTGACATTGTCGTGTTTTAATTAATTAATTTTTGACATTTTTTTCCTTTTATTAGTAATGTACCTGCTGCATTACCTAACCAACAACCAAAAAAAAGGCGAAGAAAAGAGGCTAAAGGACCTGGGGAAAATGATGACATTCATGTGCCAAATAAACACACAAAAGTTGGTAAGACAGCAGCAGCAAAGATTACACCAACACTTGTGAAGAATTCATCTACTCCTACTCAAACCATTACTGGAACCATTGAACACCGTGCAGATGTGAAATTTCAGAATCAGTTGAATGTTTCTGGACCTTCATCCACAAGGAAGTCTACTGAATCCAAAACAGTAATGGACCCTTCGTTTATGAAAGTGTCAGACGGAGATGCTTTTGTACTGCAAGCGGATGTGAAGGATATAGATAAGCAGAAGGCAGGAGTCCTCTTGTCCAAAGACTCAAGTAACAAATTTAAAGATGCAGGTGGATCATGTGATGGTTCATATCAGAGATACCATGACAAAAGTGCTTATGCACAAACCAAACACCAATCTGGGAGAGCATCAAGTAATGTTGATGAGTTGGAATCATTGGTTCGGGCCAAACATAAAAATGGGATTCGTGAGATTCCGGACCTTAATCTCTCAGATGGAAAGTACTCTCTTCCAACAACTGTGAGTATTATTGTGTACTAATGTTTTTCTTGTTATTGTATTGTTAATTTGGTATACATCATAAAATGTGCTAGAAGATGTCGAGGGGTGTCATATGAGTACACAAGTAGACGTAGAGAAAGACAAAAATCTAAGAGGAGCTAAAAGAAACTGGAGTGGAGTCTAGGCACTTGGATAAGTGTGTCCGTGCAAAGAAGGTTAAGGGTGTTTGTTTAGTGCTTTTGTTGTTGATTACATGTTAGGAACCTCCTTTGGAGTGAATATTCATTAAACCAAGTAACAAGGAGGTTAATTGCTGTTATTGTCTTTTGCAAATCGCAAAAGTCTTAGAAAGGTGGACTTGTGAATCTTTATGCTTTATACTCCATTCATTCTTTAAGAATTGAGTTTGTTTCCAATCAGGCATGGCATGGACTTTCTGGTTTATTAGTTTCTTTAGACAGTGTAGATGTGTTAGGTAAAAAATTGCTTGTACTAGCCTCATGTTTGCCTGCTTGTACTCAAGGCTTCATCATCTTCCATGTACCCCCAGTCCAGTTCTTGTTTGTACTCATATGTATACAAACACTGAACATTATAGTCTTGTTTGTTGAAGGTATTAGAAATTTGAGAATATCCTTAAAGGTCGTCTTTGTTCCTAATGGATCATCATGTGCATATATCTTAATTTGTACTTTTGTTCTCAATGATGGTAGATTTGATTTCAAACATTTAACATTCTGCAGAAATCTTCACATGTGCACAAAAAGGATGGCTCTAGTATGAAGTCCAAAAGTTCAATGCTTGAAAAGGCTATTAGGGAGTTAGAGAAGATGGTAGCTGAATGTAAGTTTTATTATTTTTCTGACATTTTTGTCTTATTATTTGTTCTAAGTGATACATTGGGTTTGTTCCAGTTCTCTCTCTAGTCTTTTTTTTGATGATGATTTGAGGAAACTGCTTCAGTAATCTTTTATTCTGTGTGCGCTTGCAGCTAGGCCACCTGCTGCGGATAATCAAGAGGGAGATAATTCATCCCAAGCAATTAAAAGGAGATTACCTAGAGAACTAAAGATGAAACTTGCTAAAGTTGCTAGACTAGCGGTATTTAAACTAGCTATTTTGACTGTAACTGTTTAACTCTGTGGTGTTGTGCTTTATTTGAATTGTTGTATTCATAATATTCAAGACATACATGCATCTCAACTTGAAACCTGTAATAAATTTAATTATAAATGCTCTTTTTGTTGCAGCAGGCTAGCCATGGGAAAATAACAAAAGAGTTACTTAACCGGCTTATGAGTATTCTTGGTCACTTAATACAGCTCAGAACATTAAAGGTATTACAGTTTGTTTTGAAGAAAACACTGGCTCTCCAATACTTGTTCGTTAATTTTCCCATTGTCAACTATAGGTCATTTCACGTGCAGGACCTGAACTCAAAAGTTATGTTTGCCTATTGTTCTGGAACTTAGTGAGAAAAACGCTGTAGTTTGATAAACATATGAACCATCCATACTTAATTATTACTTTAGTGATGATTCCAGAAGCCAGCATCACTATCATGAATTCTAGGTTATGTTTCCATTATCGTTGAGCATTGGCTCTTTTATCATTTGAGGATTTGGATAATTTATAAGGTCACCATAAATTAGTTTCTGTTACAAAAGGAAATCTAATGACAATAACAGTAAAAATATAAAATAAAATAAAAAAATAAAAAAAAATAATAGCATGGATAATTTTTTAGTAACTGTTTAAGGGTAATTGTTTCTTTTTATATAAGTGATGTTCTTATGCTCGCTATGGATGACTAATCTGAACAAGATATAACATATACACAGTAATGCTGCTCATAATGAGAATGCAGTTGTTTTTATTTCTTTTAGCTGTTAAGTATCTTGGCTTCTTGTTTATGAAGAAAATTGATTTGCTATTTATGCTTGTGCAATGTGTTTTTCCTGCAGAGAAACTTAAAGGTCATGATTAGTATGGGTATTTCAGCAAAAAAGGAGAAAGATGAGAGGTTTCAACATGTAAAGAAGGAAGTTATAGATATGATTAAGATAAAGGCCCCATCCTTGGAATCCAAGGTATGTGTTGCAGGTCCTTGCTGCGGTATGGTGTTTAATACGCTGTGTTCTTTTCCTGGGTAAAAGTATTGGAATAACCATATTGACTATGGTCATTGTTAAAAGATATATTGGTGTCTGGATGGTATGAAGTCATGTATGGAATTTTTTCTTGCTAAAAGTGGTCATCATGTCTTTCACTCAGTGTTTTAAAAAACGAGCCTTGAGGCACGCCTAGGCGGCTGTGGAGGCAGGGCAGTGATGAAAACGCCTCTGCCCAGCGGCAGTAGGCTTAAACTTGCCTAGACATGGTCGAGGCACGCCTGAGGCGTGCAGCTTAGGCATTTTTTTTTAAGGTTAGGGTTTCTCACTTACAGTGAAGAAATTTTTTATTTGATTGTTGATTATTCTTCTATAATGTTTGATTTCGACTCTGTTGTTGATTATATTTTATATGTATAATATATATTAACAATTTTAGGTCCCATGAGGCTATTGCCTCATGCCTCAAGGCTGTTGCCTAGGCGGGGCTATCCATGAAATGCCTTGGCTTAGCCTTCGCCTTTTAAAACATTATGGACATTGGTTCAGTTAGCATTCCCCTTGTTCAGGGGGCCATTTGTTGTGCTAGTTCAGATGACATTCTGTCTTGGTGCTCAATTTTCTTCTCTACATTCGTTGTGTTTACCTGGATTCCCCAGCTTACTTTTATTGGCTCGTTGCTAATTTGTCCTTATTGCTTTTCCTACATTACTTGCTCTCATCCTTTCTTCATTGGTACTTATTGAAAAATGAAAGTGGATTTTCAATAACTCGTGTTTTAAGTACCGCCTTATGTGGAAGGTATTTCATATTTGTTTCGCTGTGAGAAGATGCTGAACAAAGTGTTTTTAATTCGCCTCTCCCCCACCCCCTTCTCATAATGGTATCACATCACAGTAACAAGAATAACCTTTTTTGTATGTCAAATAAGTAATTAGAATAACCTTTGTGCATGGCTCTAATGCAAAACGCAAACTGTGTTTTTCTCAGGCATTGGAACAACAAGCTGGAGCATCAGATGATTTTCAAGAAACTGCTTCTGGAACAAAAGAGCTTTCGAAAAGAAAATTTAGCATGGATGCTGCATTGGAGGACAAGATTTGTGACCTCTATGACCTTTATGTTGACGTACTAACCCAAGCTTTCAATTTCGTATTGGAAATTTTGTTCCTTTATATTGCAGATAACTTCATTTTTTGTTGTCTTATTCCTTGGTATATATTTCTTGGTTCTAGGGGCTGGATGAAGATGCAGGTCCGCAAATAAGAAAGCTGTATGCCGAGGTGCTTCACCTTTTCGGGGTTTATCCCCCTGTTTTGTGATATGTGACATGATGAGAAATACTAGGACTAGGATTTGATGCTTCTTAATGGTGTATTTTGGCGTTTCCACTTAGATCGTATATGCCTTCAATGAGTCCTTCAAAGGAACCTTTAACCAGTGATGGCATGTTTCTCAAAATCTACTTTTATGAAGATTTTGTATTCACTTAAATTCATTTAGTTTTATTGATTGTATTCTATTGTTGTTGCTTGGACTTCAGTTGTTTTGTGGATATTTCCTGACTTATTTAGTCTTATGTGATTCAGCTAGCGGCATTGTGGCCTAATGGTTTCATGGACAATCATGGGATCAAACGCGCAATTTGTAGGTCAAAAGAGAGAAGGAGGGAGCGATACAGCCGAAATAAAGTGCGTAAAGTTGCACTCTCTCAACTTATGGTCCGGATTTTTTATGAGCCAATTTCGGAATTAACATCAGTCTGCTGGGTTTTAGTCTTTATTGTAATGTATCTTGCATATGGGTTTCAATTCCGCATCATCTGATATAACTTTCATGGAAGTAGGTATTTATCTCGGCCATTTGTTTGCCAAATTTTTTTCTTCAGGAGCAGGAGAAAATTAGGAGGAAAAAGATGTTGACACCACGAACAGAAGAGACTATTCGAGTTGAGAGGTCAATTACCCAGCAACTATTAATGCAAGAGAGAATGGCAACTGAACAAAACAGTCAGAGCCCGACAAACAAGCCGACATCTGGTACAACAGCAGCCTTGGGGGTACCTGGTCCAATAAACGGTCCTAGCTTTGACAGACTTAAACAAGAGAAGCTCAAGGGAAGTTCAAGCAGTTCCGCAGACGACACACGGGTTGGAGACGGTGCATTGACGAAGAAGAAGACGAAGAGGAAGCCAGAACAAGAATTGGATGAAAGTCGTATCCGCCCGGAGAAATTACCTTCTCAGTCGGGGGAGGAAAGGCACAAGTCCTTAAAGCCGGCGGCCGGGCCGCCCCATAAATCGAACCTCCAGTCCACAGTTGTTCCAAGTGTGGAGCAGTCTAGCTGACATAATATATAGCAGACTAATTAGAAAATTTACTGCATGGTTGGTGCCCTATGATATGATATGATGGATCTGAGATTTGCCCTTTAAATAGAGTGCAAAAAGCTGTGTTTTTACTTTTAATTTTGCAATCTAGTTTTCTACTGTTCTTTCTTTTTCCAATTTTTGGTCCCATCGTTCGGTAAATATAAATTCAAATCGTTAATTTTCCTTTTAATTAGCTAACCATTTGTAGGATTTGCTTTGCCTACCTTGGATGGAAATGAAAATGATTCTAATTCTCAACTTTTCATGCGTTCGCTAAAAGGGATGTGCTATCCACATCCTAGTTTATTTCTTACACACCTTCTTAATTTGCAGTTGTTGGATCGATTGAATTAAAAAAGATCAAATGACAGAAATTAACAAAGTGTTTGTGAGAAATAAAAAAGGGATGTGTGGATAGCACTCCCCTATTTTGTTTCCAACAGTCTTAGCATTTCAGGCCCAAGACCAAGTTCACACCTAACACGGTCCTTTGGACCCAATCTGAATGGTCGAAGACAAATCAATTATAACAAGTTTAGAGTGAAACCGAATCATAAATGACCCATCTTTAATCCAAAATAAGACCCAAAAATAGTTAATTCTTTTCAACTTAAACTCTCCTTCTCCCCAACAACCGCCCAACATTTGAAACTCACTGGACTCCCCACAGCATGTTAAAAACTTAGGCGAAGTTGGTTCAGATTTTCCCAGTCAGTATGACAGAAAAGATGTGGTGCTTGCTTCCTTCGGGTTGTGTTCAGAGTCCTTGCACAATACTCGACTTCATACTTCATTCCCCAAAGTCATTTTCAAATTTGGTGAGTTTGGAAAATGGAACTCTAGAAATAGTGTTTAAGGTTAATTATGCATGTTCATTGATGAAATTAGTTTAAATTGGTGGACATATGTGGATGTTTTGGGAAATTTGGGTGTGGTGTTGGGTTTTGAAGTGTTGTTGACGGGTTGTGTGTAGGGGTTAAGTCGTTCAGTTTTGTTTTGTTGTTATATTGTTGAGTTGAGATTGATTTGTGTTGATGAAATCTTCATTCCCCAAAGTCAATTTGAAATTGGTGAGTTTGGAAATTTGAAACCTAGAATAAATGCTATTTCCGTTAAATTTGATTAATTAATTTAGTGTTTAAGGTTAATAATGCATGTTCGTTGATGAAATTATTCGAAATTGGTGGATATATGTGAAAATTTTATGAAATTTGGGTGGATGTGGGTTTATGAAGTGTTTTTAACAGGATATGTATAGGCGCTATGTTGTTCACTTTTGTTTTGTTTAAGTTATACTGTTGAGTTAAGATTGATTTTTGTTGATGAAATGTTCTTTAATCTTTTGAATTAACTTGATATTACTTAAGTCATGATGCTTTGTTCAAGGTAGACATATGGTTATGAAAACTTGTTGACATGTTGTTTAAGTGTATACATTGTTGACTTTGGTTGTGTAAGGGTAAATTTTGTTGAATTTGGTTATGTTGAATGCTTGTATTGTTCTATGTACACAAGTTGGCAACTCATGGGGTTCAATTAGCAACAAAAGAAGAGTATTCGTATAGGAGAAGTATTAACAACCTATCCCAAGCCTCTCATGTGCTAGGAGCACTGTTCTAAAAATACGGCGCTAGGCGGCTGACTACCACCCCGATTAATGCTTAGGCATTTGAAAGTTAAGAAAGGGTGCCTAGACCTGCTGAGGCACCCGCCTAGACCGTCTAGGCACCATCCTAGCCTGCACAGACCCACCTAGGTTGCGACTTACTTAGACAAAAAATAGATAACTTTCATTTTGCATTTTATTTTTTTCAATAAATTATAATAGACTTGTTGAATACTTAAATTAACGTACATTATATGTGTTGTTCCCCATGTTTTCATTATGTTCCAATACTTCATAATATATATATGTGATTCTATTTTGTAGTTTATGATGAAATTATATATATTTTAAGTATAAACAAACACTTAGGTCCCACCTAGGTCCCACCTAGCTGCCTAGACCCCAGCCTGGCCCGACTAGCGCTTAGCGTCTTTTAGAACCTTGGCTAGGAGTAACGAGTGAGAAGTTTAATGAGGCACAAACATCCTGCTTTTGCCACTTAGAACATGTTGATGAATTGGCCTTCAATGGCCAATTGGTGCACGAGTTGTCGCTCCAAAGAGTCATTAATGAAGAGGTCAAAGACCCAGAGGAACTAACCTATTTAATGGAGTGTGAATTTACCCGGTTCACAAAAGAATTTTGCATTATTACTGAGCTTCGATGTGACAAACCCTATGATGTAGAGGTTAAGCCATAAGGCATTAACTTGTGAGGGGGTATTTGCTTGAGAGAGTAGCAAGGGTAAGAGAGAGAAGGGCAGAGGGTAAAACCAAGACCACCCTCAAGAAAGTCAGTAAAAGATATATGTGACTTGTGGGGAGATTGAAAGTGCATTTAAAGAATGCAAGAACGAGAATGATGTGTTGAAGTTGGGTTTGGTATACTTTGTTGAGGTTGTGTTGGGGGCAAAGAGTAATTTTGCTGTGAATCTAGACTACCTCCACCTCATGGAGGATATGGATAGGCTTAACAATTTTGCATGAGTGCCATTTTCTTTGAATAACTTCAAGACAACCTCTTTTTCGCTACTTCCAAGATAGGTAGAGAGAGTTGATGGTGAGGGTGAGGGAGATGAGGAGGAGGAAGATGAAGTGAGGGGAAGCAAGATGGGGCAACAATCTGGGTGGGGCTGCAAAGGGTTTACCTATGCTTTTCATGAAATATGTGTTGCTTTTGTTGCTAATATTGGTTTTATTACTGTGATTGAGTACTAATCGAGCAATATGTGTAGGTGTGGGCTTACAAAAAAATTCCCTAACCGGAGAAATCATTATGTTACTGTTAAATAAATATCTGGCAGCTACCCCGTAGCTTGGTCGGTGGAAGATAACAAGGAAGCAATTGAAGTTGTACATGATTGAGAGCTGAGAGGTATCACTGTCTATGAATTTTTTAAATGTATAAATATTTGTGAATATTTTAGTATGAATATGTGTGAGAAATGTAATTTTGATAAGTGGTGTTAATTTGAAAACTGTTAGGATTTGAGAGGTTGTCCCGACGGAAATGAAGAAGAACCAAGCGTACTGGACATGGACAGATGAGGACAATGTTTTGTTGCTAGACAACTTCACTCTGACATGTATGATGTCAATGAGTTGAAAATGTAGATCGAGGAGTTGAAGGTGTTTGTGGTGTGATTGGGCCATGAGAATGACATTTCTGAGATGACAACGTTTAAGAAGTTAGAAGAGTTGACCAAGTTGGTCGAGTATTTAAGGTTGGAATTTAAGGCAAAACCTGTAGAGGAAGAAGAAGAGGTTGTACATGAGAATGAAGATGTAGAAGAGGATGGTGATGTGATAAAAGATAGCACTCAAATTAAACCCTCTTTTTTGACAATTGTAGTATAGATATAAGTAGGGATCGTTCTAGGCCGGGGATTAGGAGGGATTGCTAATCTAATGAAAATTGACTCAAAGATGTAAAAATATGCTTTAAAACACTTAAACAAACTCAAAAGACTCTTAACTAAACTTGTATGACTCAAGACAACTCAAAACAATCAAAAAGACTCAATTTAGACTCTAGGACTCAATTTGGACGAAAATACAATTAGTTTTGACTCAAAAGACTCAAAAACACACTTTTGGACAGATTTGGAACAAGTAAGAAAATGGGATTTGATTTTGGACGAATTTAAAAGAAAAACAAGTGAATTAAAAACTTAAAACAGATTTTGACGAAATTAAGAAAAACCAATGGATGATGAAATAGCCAAGGGATACTTCTCCGCACATGATACATTCAAACATAAATTGATTTCCAATTGCTTTTCCGATAAACCATGAACCTCAACACCCCAGATTAACCGTGACATCACTAATTAACCCTCAGATTTCCCTTAAGTTAGTGGATTGGATGACATCATACGACAACCCAAGGCATTCTTCAAAAGTCCCCTACATGACATCATAATAAAGATACAATCAAAGATCATTACGTTCAATGGAAATCATAAGTATTGACAAAACACTTGTAACTATGACATCATGATACTCATGCTAGGAATTTACTTAACATGATTGTGAAAACAACCTTAACTACTTGTGAATATAAGTTCGTGACGATTATGTGAAACTCCCTTATATTCTAGCACCAAATTCAAGCATGCAAATTAAGTAGGCCTCCCTAATCGACATACAAGAATAAGTTATCCATCAAACGGTTAAGTAAATTACATTCACAATTTATGAAATCACAACTGGAATTTATCAACTCATATTATATACGTAATCATGGTTTCAAAGCATCCCTAGGCTAAAACGAGTATAGCCTCTCATGTTCATAACAAAACAAAGGAAAATAGAATTAATCATTGAAAACAAAAGATAGATTACACCTAAAAACGTTCAAACACTCCAACTTGAATGCACAAACGTCCAAGGCTTCGTCTTTCTTCTTTTCTTCCTTGCTAAGTCACGGCACAAGAGTCTAGGGTGGTTTTGTGGAGGATTTTCTGGGTTTTGAATGGATTTAGGAGAGTAGGGTGGTGTGGCAAAGGCTATGGAGGGTGTATGGAGGCTTGGATGAAGGTATGGAATTAGGAGAATGATGGAAAGCTTGATGGAAGGCTGCGGCAAAGGATAGGTTTCTGAGTGAATGAAGGCAGGTTGTGTGGAAGGGTGATTAGGGATCAATAAGGGTGCGGCATTGGGTATATATATGGAAGAAAGAATCTTAAGGCTTTATTACTTAGTTTAGGAAAGGAATTAACCCCAAATCCCTAAGGAAAAGGAAACACAAAGTCAGAAATTAAAGGGAAAGGGAAGGGAACCTGCGGCATTCAATTGTGATAAGGGGAATGTGATTTATTTCTGAAATTAGGCAAGGATTTTGGAATAGAAAAAGGTATGTGAGTTATGGCTGAGTTTGATATGAAAAAGGAATGTGTTTTAATGCTTGGAATAGGAAACAAGGCCTTCCCTTGCACGACAAGGAAGGGAAACACCAAGGGAATGCACGGCATGGTATTTAGGTTGCAAGGGAACTTTGTTTTGTGTCCTAAAGTACGTAAGGTGCCTTCAAACTTGCTGGAATTCAAGGACATTTAGGATTAGGAAATGTTCAACCAAAATAGGAAACCTTGGCTTAACTTTCCTTCTCCAAGTAGGAAACCTTCTTTGACTAAGATTCCTTATTTGATTAGGAATCCTCTTATGATTAGGAATCCTAACTCATTTAGGTCTTCAATTTCGTCCATTCCTTTTGCTCCAAGCATAAGCCATCCATTCCAAGTCCAATTTTGCTCCAAAATGCTCCAAAATGCACCTTTTTGCTTCCTTAGCCATATGAACCTAAAAACACACGAAAATGGTTTAAACTACTAAAACAACTATGAATTAACAACATAAATGCACGAAAACAAGCTAAGTAAGTCCCCTAAATATGCTCCTATCAGATGGTGATAGAGAATGTGATGTGGAAGAAGGGGAGGAACAAGCAGAGGCTGAGGATGAGAATGAGGAGGATCAAGAAATGAAGGAAAAGGGAGGAACCCAAGGGATCGTAAGGGAAGAGATTATGAAAGTTGTGGGGGCAGAGGCTTTGAAGGTGGTTCGAGGGATTGTTGATTGGGACAATCCCTTAAGTGTATGTGCCAATCTACTTGTTTTTGTTAGAGAACCAGTACCGGACCGCAAAAGAAGATGTCAATGGTTCCAATACCGATGATGAGGTGGTTATATTCACACTTGAGGGCGAGCATTTGGGAACCAAAATAAGGTTAAGTACACAAGGGCAACGACAAAGAAAGGTCATAAAAGGAATAGGAAAGTGGTAGATCATACTGCGGTGATCTTTAACGTGACCAAGTGGCCAAACTCCATGCTGGTGAGCCATTGGAGGATGTTGTGCAGAGAATTGCCTTACTTAAAGTCGTAGACAAAAAGTGCTTGCTTGATGCTATGGAACATTTCTATCACTTCAAGATGGTGAAGGAGAATGAAAAGGAGTAAATTACTTTTAAAAGTTTAGTTTTTATTTATGTATGAAATTTTTTGAGTAATTGAATACAATGATGAACCTTTATGATTTTGTTACATTGTTAGTCTGGTTGCCTTGTTGGATATTAGGACGGATGGAGACACTAATTTTTGGAGGCAGCTCCTTGAGCTGCAAGGCGGGCTGTCCACCAATGTAAGTAACTAAACCATATATTATTTTGGAGTAACTGTATTGAGTTGGGATTGCATTGTTGTGAATGTGTAATTTAAAATTTCCTTATGAAAGGTCTATACGCCTTAGAACTGTCCCTTTTTAGGTTGGACCTTGTGCCTGTAGGCCCACCAGTGTACCAAAAGAGAAAAAAACTGAAAATTGGCTAATGCAAAATTAAATTTTATGTTAACAACATACAAATTAAATTCTTATAATCGAACTAACCAAAACTGAATATTGTAGGCATATATATCAAATATGGACGGCGCAACCATAAAATATGCTCGACATAAGAAACCGAAATTGAAATTTGAAAATAACCATTTTGTTAAATTGCCTGAAAAGGAGACAGAAAAGGCGACTGCAATCCGTACTACCCAACGGCAACGGCGACGTCTGCACTAGGCAATTCCCGCCTTTTTATTTTCCCTTTCCCTTTTTTTTTTTTTTGCTTTCTTTTTCTCTCTCTATCCCCAAATTCAAAACCTCACGGAGGAGCTCTCCAAAACTGAAAAACCTAAATTCACTGATTCCACTCAGCTCTCTCTCTCTCTCTCTCTCCAGAGCTCCGTCTTCGACGTCTCCGGCATCCCCCAAGATGCGGAAAACGGCGGCGTTTCAGGGGGCCAACGTCTTCATGTCGCGGAACCTGGTCCCGCCCGAGATGTTCGACGCTCTTCACGACGCGCTTAAGCACAACGGCGCCAATGTCTTCCTCTGCTGCGACCCTTCCCGCACCGCCCCCAACGACTACCACGTCATCGAGTCCTCCGATCACGTTTGTGTCGTCTCAACTCCCCTCAAATCTCAGCTTTTTTTGTATTCGCGTCGTTCAATTTCTGGTTTCTGATTTTTTTTTTCTCTCGATTTTCAGGTGAAGTTTGAGGATCTTAGAGCCAAGGGTTGCAATTTGCTAGGTATGCTACTCCCGAATTTCGCTGCATTTCACTGTTTGTTGTGCGAATTCGGATTCAGTATTTGCTTTTCGATTATGTGAATTAGGAATCAGGGTTTATAATTTTGTTGTTTTTAATGAAGTGAAATGAGGAATTGGGTCTTGATTGTTTTTAGAGAAGATAATGGTTATTTAATTACAGAATGGTTCATAGTGATATACAAAGCAAGTCTGCACGAAATGTTTCCCTTTTTCTGTTTAATTTTTTTGTAATACAGTTCTGTAGTTAATTAAGTAGACTACAGATAGCTAATGGCCTTACCCAATTGAACCATTAAGTCAAAGCACAATTGGGTATCTGTTAAATTGTAAACCGTGCGAACTTAAGAAGTTTTTGATACGGGATGAATGGTTGTTCTTTTGAAGTTCTAATTCAAGTCCTTTCTTGGGAAGTGGTGATGACTTGGATATGTGTTTCTGATGTTGAGCAGGTCCTCAATGCGTGTTTGCTTGTGCGAGCGAGCATAGGGCTCTTCCTAAACAAGGGTTTACTTGTTGCCTTGCAATGGATGGTTCCAAAGTACTTGCGTCGGGTTTTCAGGGAGATGAAAAGGTATTGTGCCTGCAGCTTGTGGGTGTGATATTTCAAATTGGAGCAAAATTCTAACAGTAGCTTACTAAGTATTACAATGGGAGCAAACATCTGTCATCTATCCCTGAATCACTTATTTGAGTTTTTCTTGATTGTTCTTTCTGAGTTCAGCAGAAAAATCTTTCAATCTTTGTTACTTCCATTTGATAAAGTTTATTATCCAGGTTTTTCAATTGTCTTCTACTGTTACTATTTAGAAACATGCATTCTTATATTCGATTTTCTCTCCACTCCTATCTATTACATTTATTAGCAGCATAACAACCCCCTCTCTTTCATCATTGATATTCCATTGCTTATCATTGTGTTGCAGATTAAGATAGAGAAGTTAGTAACAGCAATGGGGGGAGTTTTGCAAACGCAAACATCTTCGGATGTTAACTTTGTCATTGTGAAGAATGTATTGGCTGGAAAATACAAGGTTAGTAACTTAACCTTTCTGTTTCTTCAAGGTTTCATACAATTTGATTCATTTCTCCATCAGTGTATTGGAATTTGAAATTTCTATACATGTCAGTTAATAACAAAACTTAAAAAACTTATTTACAAACTCTCACGTGCAATTTCATATAATTTGACTATGTTTGTAAATTCTAAATGGAACTCAATGATGGGGTTCTCTTGCAATCGCTTTAAAGAAGAAGGATTTTTATATTTGGGGTCTGACGATAAATCAGACGCTATCTGAGAAGGTATTTTGGGAAAAGGGATTATAGCAGATATTTTATGGTAAGAGATATAGTTACTGAGTTATTATTCTTTATGCAGTGGGCTTTAAATACTTTGAAGAAGCCAATTATCACTGTTAATTGGTTGTATCAGTGCTGGAAAGAGCATCGCACTGTGTCTCAAGATTCATTTAGGGTTCTTCCTTTTTCTGGGCTGACAATTTCTGTAACCAGAATTCCAGCAGGTTCTCAAGTAGCAACCTATTTTCTGTGTAAGAAGTAAGTATATTTTTGTTATTCTTAAATGTGTTGCTAAATGTGCTTTTCTCTTCAGATGAGCGAAAGAAGATTGAAAAGCTTATCATAGAAAATGGTGGAAAATATTCTGCTGAACTAACAAAGAAGTGCACTCATTTAATTTCTGATATATCCTTTTGGGGTTCGAAGATGAAGACAACTGTTTTGCATTGTATGTGTTATTTTATTTCTTCATATCCGCATATATAGAAGTACAAGTCTCAACTTTATGAAGCAAACCTTCAAATATTATGTTTGGTATTTTATCTTCAATATGCTATAAACCCAGATTTAGTTTTATTCGTAGCTGCATTTTTTTTCTGAATCACTACTTCAACCCCACCTTCGACTTCTTAATAGTGTACAACACCTTTTCTAATTTTCTGCAACCTCAAATTATTCAGTATTTCTTAATTACTTGATTGATTTTCATAAAGAGAGGTTTATGAGAAACATATTCTACACAATCCTAAGTTTTCTTTGTAAATTAATTTGATTTTATGAGTAAGTGCATCATTTTTGCATGCATTGCTGCTTTTTCTTTCGCTCCCTTGATGTGAAAACAATTAGGTTGCATGAACACTTTGTTGTGACTGTTGTTTTTCAATCTCTGTTCGGGTTAGTGGTCAGTTATATGCGTGTGTTCTTTTTACTTAAAGTGCATTCACGAATATCTTCCTTCTAATCCTGCATCATCAATCAGCATTGAGTTTTGAGAATGCGTGTTATTCAATTCTATGTGTCGGTTTTCTTGACTATTTGTAAGCTCCAGAAGGTGACAAATACAAGGTTGCACGAAGATGGGGCCACATTCAGATTGTAACTCAAACATGGTTTGATCAATCTATTTCTAAAAGAGGTAAGGCTTCACTACAGCTTATGGCAATCTTTGAATTTATGGGATTTTACTTTATATTCTCTTCCATCTCTTGGGTTTTTATGCTATATGTCAGCCCTTGCAATCATCTCTCTCACTATCTTCCCCTTTTTTTTGGATGAATAGCTTGTCTTAATGAGGAGTCCTATCCTGTTCAAGGTGCTTCTATATCTTCAAATAAAAGTGTAAGGGGTTGCTTTACTTTGCAGAATAGCCAAAGCAATGCTAGTGGGAACTTGCAATTTGTGCCACCATCGGTGGTTGCAGATTCAAACTTGACAGCTGCCCCTTGTTCTGGAACTGTGGATTCTGATTTAGAAGCTACTGTCTCACAAAAGATGACCACTATATTTTCTTATGCTCCTTTTGTTGTGAAAAATGAGGATAGTAAGGCACCTACCTTGGATCCCTTGGAGTCCAAAAGTGAAGTTAACCTTGATGGTTGTGTTGCCGATGATTCTCAGTCTGAAGGTGATGACCTGTACTTGTCAGAATGTAGAATATCTCTTATTGGCTTTGAAGCTTCCGAATTGCGTAGACTGGTTAATATGGTTCGCAGAGGTGGGGGCTCCCGATATATGTCATTCAATGATAAATTGACGCACATAGTAGTTGGAATTCCTTCAGAAATGTAAGTTGTTCTTTTTGGATGGTTAAGACATAATTATTGCTTTGTTGTTTGAATATCTGACTTTCTTTTATAATTTCTCAGCGAAAAGAAAGAGGTAAGGGGTCTTGCAGCTTTAGGTGTCATTCATGTTGTTAGAACTGCCTGGCTTGAAGATTGTGATCATGAGAAAAAAGAGATCCCTGTTCTCCAAAGGCACATCGCCCATGATCTACTTCTTCCTGAAGGTTTTTAATAAGTTAAACATGCATTTTTGTTAATTAGTTCTATATTTGTTCCCAAGCACAAGCAAATTTTTATGTTGTTGGATTGAAATTGTAGCTTTATCTGTCTTTGTATCTTTCAGATATATATGTAATTTTGTTTATCCAGTTCCTGAGCAGACATTGTTATTGACTTTGATCCTCCCTTTTTGACCAGGAGCACTAACAAGTATGACTAGCAAGGTTAAAGGTGGAATCTCGATGGCTCATCTAAGCATGCCTGCTGATCAATTACAAAGGAAAACCAGTGCTGCAACTGGAATGGGAATGTTGGAGAAGAACAGAGAAGAGAAACCAGAAATTAACATGAAAGGTGACGGATCCATGGTAGCAGCTGTTGGACTATCCAAACGATGTAAGCTAACTGTCCTAAATGGCAAAAGTAAGGTTCAATTAAATGATAAAACAAATGGTCTACAGAAGGTGCAACATGATTTCAATGTTCAGAATGACAAGCCATCATCCGTCTTTAAGGGGAGAATATTTTGCTTTTCAAATTCCTTTCCTGAAGATAAGGTAATTTCTTTAAATGCAGATTTTACAATTAGTCCTCATAACTTTAACATTTGATTTGATTTCGTTGTTATGTGTAATATTTTTTATTTTAACTGCCAGAGAGGTCAAATCATTGAATGGGTAATTCAAGGGGGAGGAGAGTTAGTTGATGGCCATATAAAACAGAAAGTGCACTTCACTATTGAATGTCATGGTGCGAGACCTATATCCCTGGATGCTACTGAAAGTACATATGTATCAAGTCACTGGATCAGGTCATGTTTGGAGGTATATTATGTAATTCATAAATGCATTGTCTCGATCAATGTCTACGAGGCCTTTCCTTCTGTTCCATGACCATATGCCGACACATGTTTGGATAACTAATTCTTCCACATGCTGCAACATGACTTGACATTTATGCATGCATATCTGAATACATCGTAAAAAATTATATGCATGCATCTTCAACCTGGTATTGTGTTTTCCACTTGATGGGGAGGAGAGAAGAAAATAGAAACTGTTATTTCTTTTCTTCTCTCTCTTAAGATCAGAATATTGAGTTTTCCTAACTGAGAAAACAAGAATATTGAGTTGTGGGTGCTGTGAGGTAAAGCCTACTTTCTTTGAGGCTGCAAAAATCTTCATCTCACAAGCGTGATGATTTAAGGGAGAGGGAACTTAGATTGGATTTCTGATATGGAATGCCAACATGACTTAAAGTGTTTCACGAAATTTGGACCCATCATTGGTCTTTCTTTACTCTCCACTTTCTGTAAGAAATAAACAAAAGGATCAATTAATGGAGACTGAGAGATGTATCCTTTTTTTTATATTATTTAAATAATTTTCTCATCACCATTATGTTTTCCTCAGTCCTCGTATTATCTTTGGAAACACTTTAAAACTCATTTGTTAAAGCGGATTTTGCTGTTATATATTATGTTATATTTTTACATGATGGGTATGATTTTAAACTAAGACCTCTGTAGATCTCACCCACACCTCACCATATATTCCAAGACCTAGATGCATAAAGTTGAATTAGTTTTACTGTTCTAACATTATTTCTCTTATTGTCGTTTATTATTGCCTTTTATATCTGTATGTTATCATTTGATTAGCTCCTGACTTAGTGAATTCCCATTAAAATAAGTATGTACTCTGCTCATTCCAAATGCTGATGAGATTAAAACAATTTTGAAGGACGGATGCTTGGTGGATGTTACTAGTCACATTCTATATGCTCCACTTCCCTGCCTGATTCCTTTGCCTGGATATGAAAACTTTCGGTTTTGTGTTTCTCAATATAATGAGAAAGATAGAGTTTTACTAAGAAATTTATGTTATACACTTGGAGCTAAATTTGTGGAAAGGTTTACGAGGAAGGTTACCCATTTGCTATGCAAGTTTACCAATGGACCAAAGTATGAGGCTGCTCTTAAATATAGTATACACACAATTACGTCCGACTGGATATATGAATGTGTGAAGCAGGTATGCCTTTGTTATCATTGTTTAACTCCTCACTTAGTGGGAAAAGGCTTTGTTGTTGTTGTTGTTGTTGTTGTTGTTCATGCCTTAACTCCTCACTGTTTGGCAGAATAAAGTCGTTGCTCTTGACCAATTTTGTCCAAAAGAAGTCACTGCTGAAGATCAAGAGGCAGGGCTGTGCACCACGAGTCAGTATCCTACACAAGCTGTTCAAACAATATTTGGCGGCAATTCATCTGAGTGTCCAAGTCAGTTACAAGACCTGAGAAACTCATCGGCTGAATTTATTGGCAATAGAAATGACAGCCTCAGAGAAGAGGCCAAAGAATCAAGCTTTTCCAATAAGAAGGCAAGGGTTTCAAAAGTTGACTCTTCTGGGGTGCATTTAAGTATTCCTGTCTGTACCACTGGAGTCAGCAAGAAAGTTCCGGGTGAAGTTTCTTCAGTTGTTCCTGATGTAGCTTCTGCTATTGAGGACTTACTGGAGCAGACAAGTAAGGTAAATATGTTGGATATCTTATAATCTTTAGGTTGCCTTTCAAGTTTATCGGTTTTGTAAGTTTTATCTGTTTTTCTCTGTAGATTCATGATCAGCAATCGCCAGGGAGGAGTTTGTGTGATAGCAATGTATCCTTTTACCCTTAGATGCTAAATTTCATTGTTTCACTATCAACTTTTGTATGACTACATTGCTTGATTGTCAAACAGATTTTTTCACCGGATTGTTCAACTCTTCGTGAAGAGCGCTCAGATTCTCACTCCGTCATTGGATTATCGAGATCTAACTGGTTAAACAGGTGACATTATATCTTTTTCCTTGTATAACTTATTTCATATATGTCCTTTCACACCAAAGTTCCAATGAATCGTTGCATGTGTTTGACTAATGAAGATAAATGTTTTCTTTACTTTCTTGAACGGATGATGCCCTTGTCCCTCCCTCACTCCCACACTTCCTCTCCCTTAGGATATTATTAGGGATTGTTAACTTTGAGCATGTGTATGATTTACTTTTTTTATTTTTGTCTTGATATTGGTTGAGTGATAGTATGCGGTATCTTTCTTATGCTTTATGAATCAGAAATATGAGTTTGATTTCATGTATGTGGATTTCAATGTATGATTCTATCCCTGATCTATGATTGACCAAATTGTCGTGAGACTTGTCGCATGGTTATGGTGTGACATAGATTCCTTTTGGTGTAAAAACAAGGCAATCATGTCGTGCGAAAATTCCGTTAAAAGAATTCCTTTGCTACTAGGCTTCTGTATAAAGAATTTGCTGATCCTGCTTCAAAAGATGACAGTTCTGCATTATGTTTCTGGTCTCATTTGACTCTGATATTGAACTTATTTTCTTTTTCAGTGCTGGGAAAAAAGATGACATCCACAATCCTTCCGGAGAACAAAAGGCTGGCTTTTACGATGGTTTTAGCGAAACACAGACCGAGTCTCAGGTTCAGCTGATACTCAACTGCATTGCTCTATCTAAATCTGAATGCTTATCTGATGCCTATCAAGTTCTTATTATAGTTTTTTGTTATTAGTATATTAACATTAGGATTTAGGAAACATAATTTTGTCAATTTCGGTGAACCTTATGCACTTGTGACACATTTAGAAAAATGTCTATGGCTCTAGCCAAATTCCTTCCAATTTTACATCCTCATGCTCAAATTTTACAACGCAGGTTGTTGGATACGAGGAAGATTTGTCAGGCCGGCAAATGCTTATAGACAGAGTACGAACCCGAAGCAGCCTGTCTTGAATTGAAATACTAGTGCAGTCCCCCATCTATATTGTCAAACCACTTGCTAACTCGAAGGCTTCTTGCTAAATGCCGTATGATGAAATATATATTCGGACCACTGGTGGTAGCAGACCAATTACTTGTTCGAGTGGTTGTTTCAGGTAAACCTTGTTTGCTGAAAGTTTCAGCAAAGGCGGTAAAGGCAATTATTCGGCAGGCATTTGTGCAAGTTTTGAAGATTGAGGGTTTGATGGCAAACTATCTCTTGTGCGTGCCTGGATGTGTTTACACATAATTTCGAAAATCTTTGTATTACAACAATGCTTGTTTTCCGTCAAGCGGTAATCGAGCTGCTTATTGCCTTCGTATTTCAATGGTTGCAAGGCTGTTGCTCTCTCACTAAGAAGGGCACTGGGACTGAGCAATAAGCATAAGTTGAGGTACAATGAGCAACTGTAAGTCTCAAAACAAACGAAAAAAATGCATTAGTAAAACTCACGAAGCCTGGCTATGGAACAACTCAAGGTAGGATAAAAACCATAGTCTATGGAGAAAAGTAAGAAGTTGCATTAAGTCAAAACTAAACGCTTTCAGGATGCAAATAAAATGCACATAAGGGTATGACCAGGCTAAGATAGGGCCTCGTAAAAACCTTGTTAGGTGGAAAAAAAAATCCAGTGAAAAAAATGTTCATAATCATAGGGAAAAAGAGTACATTAAGTTTAAGTGAGTATACTTCTAGATGCTCCCCTGTGCTTGACAAAACTTCCAAATGAGAATTACAAACATTGCAAATCAGACAATTAATGGATACTAATCCTTGAACAAGCTTCTAGAGGGTAGACTTTGGCAACGACTTTGTGAAGAGGTTGGCGAGGTTGTCCTCAAATCAGATTTGATTGACTTCAATCTTCTAATGTTTTTTGTTGCTAATGTGAAAGAAAAAATTCGAAGCAATATGCTTTCTGTTGTCTCATTTGATGTATCATGTCTTGATATGGTCAATACATGCAACGCCATCTTCATTAATCGTTGTAGGATAATGTCAACGAGAAGCATTCACGCGTTTCCAATATGCTTAGAAACAACTCTCAACCAGAAACATTCACATGTAACTTCATGAAGAAGAGAATTTCAACATGGTATGAAAAAGTTGCAACTAAGGCTTGTTTGGTTGATCGGTGTCTACAATGGTAAAGGCATAACCCGTTTGAGAACGTGCATTGTGCGGGTTAGATACATAACTTGCTTTAGCATAACAAGGCGATAATTAACTCGAGGGCCAATGGGGATAACGGCTCTATGATAGGAGAATATTTATGCAACTTTGTTATCTTATTTCTTTGCATTTACTTAGTTAATTTCCATTTATTTTGGTAATTTAAGTTATTTTCGTATTATTGTAGGTCCGGTTGGTAAATATGATAATAAATAACTAAATGGAGCAATTTGGAGCAGTTTTGGACTTGGATTGGATAACATGCGTGGATAGCATATGGGCTGGACCTTTTTGGTGTTTAAATGGTACTAGACATGTGCTAAAATCTGGAGAAATTAAAGTTGAGGCTTGGAAGACAAGGAATTACATAAAAAAGATGAATCCTAGTTGGAGAGGAACATTATCTTATCCTATCTTATCTTATCTTATCTTATCCAACATTATCTTATCTTATCTCTAGCTGCAAGGAGGAATCCTAATCACATTCCAATATTTTCTACCTGATTCTTAGAGTTCTAAAATAATTCAAAATGCCTAATCCCTTTCCTCGGATTCAGCTGTTTCCCCCTATATATACATACATATATATATATATATATATATATATGAAATTCCTGCACTGATTTAGGGGGTGCCGCGCTTACCATTCATCCATTGAAGTTGTTGGAATTTTCAGAGTTTTTTCTATCTTTGTTTTAAGTTTCAATGTATATTTTAGATTGCTTTTAAGTTAGGATGAATATGTGTAACTAAGTTTGTTTTTAGCTAGAGGTGAATTCGAAGCCATGATCATATGTTTTATATAAATTGATTACATCCAGTTATTGTTTTATAAAACATGAGTGCGATTTACTTATCTGCTTTATAGAAAACTTATTCTTGTATGTTTATTAAGGATGCATACTTAGTTTGCATGTAGGGATTTGATGCTAGAATATAAGGGAATTTCACCTAATCGCTATGAACTTATATTTGTAAGTAATAAAAGTCACTAGTCATAATTGAGTTAAGTAAATTGGTAGGAGTATCATGCTTTTCATAGTTACGAATGTTTTGTCAGTGCTTATGATTTTCACAGAACTTAATAATCTTTGAGATGTATCTCTATCATGCTTTTCATAGTTAGGGAACTTGAGAAGAATAATTTGGCTGCGTCTTGAGTCCAATTTAATGAACTAAGGAAAATCTGAGAGTTAATTAATGTTGTTCACAGTTAATTTGGGACGTTGTCGTTCATGGTTTATATGAAGAATCGATTTGTATGCATATGTTTCACGTGTGGAGAAGAATCCTTTAGCTATCCTTTCATCCATACCTCATTCACAACTTAATTCACTTGCTGCCATTTAATTTTGTTTTAGTTAAATTTGTCCAAAATCCCCCTAGTCATTGTTTTGATGTTAGTTTAACTTAGTTTTTAGTTTTATAAGTTTAATTTGTGTTGATTAGCATCCCTTCTAATCACCAGAATAGAACGATCCCTACTTACTCGTACTACGATTGCATAATTTATAGGGTTTAATTTGTGTGTTAGTTTCTAACACATCACTCCACTCAAGAATCCAAAGGGATATAATAAGCCCAAATCCGTACTACCTTTGAGGTAACAAAGGATATCTTTAGCACCAGTCAAGTGTATGCACGTAGGCACATCGCTATATCTTGCCAAAAGATTAACAACGAATGAGATGTCTTGTCTACTCTAGTGCATTGTGCTAAGTCAACAAAGTGCCAATTGCACTCAAGTATGAAACTTCAGGCTCCAAAACCTCTTCCTCATCATCTTTAGAAAAAAGGGGTCGCATTTTGCATCTAGTGTTCGGACGACCATAGGAGTACTCGAAGGGTTCGCTTTATCCTCGCTAAAGCGTCTTAACACCTTATGGGTGTAGTTCGATTGATGTACCAAAATACCATTTGAACAATGTTCGAACTCCGGGCCTATACAATATCGAGTTTTCCTTAGATCTTTCATCTCAAATTTCGACTTCAGGTGCAAGACAGTTTTCTCAAGCTTTTCAGGAGTGCCAATGAGATTCATGCATCGACATAAATTGAAACAATCGCAAATCCAGAATGTGATATCCTGGTAAACATGCATGGGCATAGTTCATTATTCACATATCCTTGACTAATCAAATACTCAGTTAGACGACTATACCATATATGCCTAAATTGTTTCAATTGGTGGAGCGAATGCCTCAATCTAATTGAGAGGCTATTCCATGGTCTAGAACTATTTGATCCATTCAATATTAGTCATTCGGGAACTAATGATGTAGGTTTACGTATTAAGATCCTTATAAAGATACGTAGTTACCACGTCTATAAGCTTTATATCTAGTTTTTTGGAAGCTACCAAACTAATAAGGTAGCAGCACGTTATGACGTCCTTATGGGGGATTACACCTCTTTGTAATCAATCCTAGGAAGTTTAGAGAAACCTTGCGCCACAAGGTGTGCCTTATATCGTACTATTTTACTTTTGGCATTACGCTTTCTCACAAAAACCCACTTATAGCCAGTGGACTTCATATGTGGAGTTCTAGGAATTACAGGTCCAAACACTTTAAGTTTCACAAGTGAATCAAATTCGACATAGATTGCTTGTTTCCAATTTGACCAATCAGTTCTACGTCAACATTCATCAAAGGAATGCGGTCCAATGTCATTGCTTTAGCATGATTTTAGTAGTTACTGTGCATGCAAATGCATCTTCGACTATCATCTTATTCCAATTCCGAACCTCATCCAAGCTACCATAATGCACCGAAATCTCACAATTTTTCCTTTCCTTTTTCTTTTTTGCTGTATATGGAATACGCCAAGACACTACGTATTACACTGCTTTGACAACTATACAAAAGTGCAAGTCTAAAAAATTCAAAGTATTAGAGTTAGAGGAGTCTTCTATAACCTATTATGTGGTGTTTATGTTAACTGCTTAAGAGGCCCAAAGCGTATTAAGCAAGTGAAGGGTGTGACCTAGAGAAGGGCGACCCATAAATCATCCTAGTAGTGGCTCTGAACTCTGACTCCAGACTACAATTATTTCTATCTTAAACCAACATATTAAGTCAAGTATGTTCTGCGGCGATCTCATGCCTAATGTAGGTTTGAAGGAGGCATCCAGACTAGGAAATCCTGAAGGGAAATTTTATACCAACGGAGCTCTAATTTGAGGAAGTAACTTAGCAAAGCCAGTTATGTGTCATCCGTTAAGAAACTATCAAGTCTGATGCATATAGGGTATGTCAAAAGGATTCCAAAAGTGTTTCTGATCCCAAGTGTTAGGGACCAAGTCCCTAACGAACGTTTTGTTTAATGTTCACTAGGAACAGGCACGCAATTTGGACTAAGAAGGAAAGCCCTTCTTGGTTACATGTTGCGATGAAATATTAGGCTGACATTAAGATCTGGAGGACATTCCAGACAAGATTAATTATTTTCTTATCTTTAATCCAATCCATGCATTAAAGCAAGTTTCGAAGAAGGAGTTTTTCATGGGTTTTAGACCTAGTGTTGGAGAATGGTAGTACTCTAATTATTGCGGAAATCTTTATAAACACTAAGTTTTGGGAATAACATTTTTGTGCAATGTTATCAAGGTGGTCGAAACCCAACCTAAGCCTACAAAGTTATTCGTGTTTAAATCTGTCACTTAGTACTCCGAAACCCAACCTAAGCCTACAAAGTTATTCGTGTTTAAGTCTGTCACTTAGTACTTCGAGTTAAGTTTACTTTGGAAAGATGTGCAAATATTCATTGAATAGTCAAAGTCCCATGAATAGGGCAAAAAAGTACAACATCGGGGGAGATAAGCCCTCACCCTTAGCGAAAATTGTTCTAGCACCAAAAGGAAAATACACTTGGCGAACATAATCAAAGAGGTGACTCAAGGTATATGGAATCGTGACTCGATGCTTCTACAACTCCCTTACTTCACCAAGGATTTAGCAAAAAGATGCCATGAAAATCCAGGAAGGAAGTGGATCCCGGTATGAGGACGCTCAAGAAAAGGAGAATCTAGCAGAAGACTTGGTATATCTTTATCGGATTTTGAAGTCGCCCACCAAATTTTGATCAACCTTAAAGAAAAAATCGCAACCCTCTGGCTATGCACTTTGGAAGTTCAAGGATGGTCTCATTGTTGGT